GACTCTAAAAAAAAATGTTCCAAATTTGAACCAATTACCCTTTACACTTCTTAGTCCGATATCTTTGAAATGTCTTTACCATTTGAACTCCTTGAAGGTAATTTTTCTTGACTTTTATCGAGAGTATTCATAGGTAACTTCAGTTATCTATGATGTAATTAACTATAAGGGCTTGCCCTTATAGGAAACTTTTCCCGAACCCAGCATAATATAAACCCTATTTAATTCCTTATATTAAATAGGGGAACTTGTCGGCCAATACATTGGTTTCGCAGACCAAACGGATGTCATAACTTTCTTTAGTTTATTTGATCGAGCCTCACTCTCAATTCTTGCGTTCATCCTTCGGGATAGATACATGATTTGAGATAAAGTGCTCTTTCATCTAAACTATGAAAATTATGGGGTCAGTTTGACTTCATCTTTTTCAAAACTAAATTTAAAAAAAAAATGTCCTTCCGAAGCGGGCAATGGGATTTCAATTCCGATGACCGACAGCTTCTTACGGGCAAACCCCACACCAAAAATAGTGTCGACATGCACTTAACAAGGAAAGGGCACCGTAGGGTGGCATCAAAGACTTCGACGCGGACTTTGGTCAAGTCGACGTAGACTATGAGGGTCCCTTGATGGATGTGGTCAGCCGTGGAGAAAAAGAGGGGTTACCATTACTGTTAAAAATCGACACCAAAGAGGATTCCTCACTGAAGGGGAAGAAAGCGATAAAGCAGCAAGATCCGATAAAGGGGACTAGTCGTTTGCCAATTATGATAACTACATCGACTAGAGGTCTAGTAACTACCGACGAAGTGAGACTGTCAGATGCACCGTTACAAAGGACGCAACGAAGAAATGCCAATGGTCGAAAACACAGAGCATTCCTACGAGAAGAAAGAAGACGTTAGAAGGAGGCGAAAAACTTACTTACCCCAATTCTTGAGGGGAAAATCTATGAACCTTGCATGAGAGAAACTTCCTCCAGCTTGTCTTCCTCCAACCTGCTTGCCATAGAGGATGAGTTCGAGTTCACTATAGAGCCGATGCTACCAGAAAAAATTCAGATGACCTTTGTGCGGGTTGCCCAACGTGCAATGTCGAGATTCCCACATAGATACTAGTTACAGAGGCGTTTTTGGAATGCCCAAACTGCAACGTCCTCCACCTAGAGCGTTACAGCACTCTGAAGGAATATACGTCCACCGATAACGGATTTCAGATCACTGATCACTCAATGGGGGAATCATATATTCTGATGGATACAGAGACAACACAAGCATGAATTTCTGCTGATATTGAAATGAGGGAGCAACCTTGATAGCCGCCTGTTGGACGACCCTTGCCGAGAAGGAAAGCAAAAGGAAAAAAAAAAGAAAGAGAAAAATGCTTAACGTGGAGAGAAGAATTAGGCCAAATGGGGGATAAAAGTTCTTGATTGGGCCGAAGGAGGAAGGAGCGACTAGGGTAGAGGAGCGGCTGGGGCCGAAGAAGGAGGGAGGAGCGTGATAGCTAATTCAAGGGCATTCGAGTAATTAAGGAGCGAACGAACGACCCTGCAAGGATTATCCCGCGGGCCGCGTCTTTAACTAAACAGAAACATGATTTTGCGAGAAGCTAGAAAAACACGCAAACCAAACAGAACGACTGTGTTTTCAAAACTTTGCCTGCAGTTATAAGCTGCTCTAAACAGACCGTTAGGCGGGATAGACTCCGTGACCCCAAAGGACTTATGCTAGGCTGTACTACCAATGAATCGCGGGGAGCAACACTCCTCTACACACACACACACATTCATTTAAAAATTAGAATATTATATAACTAAATAGAAAAATTAAGATTTTAAAAATAACAAATAAATATCATACAAAAGTGATGGAATTTACAAGCATATCACCCTATTCTTATGTATTTGTTTTTATAAAGCCTAAAATTTACTTTTTTTTTAACATTTATACCATACAAATATTTAATATCACCTAAAAATATCACTATTTTAATTTTTTAAAAATAAAAACATATTTTCACACACACACACACACACACACACACACACACACACACACACACACACACACACCAG